CAATTTTTCTTTGGCAGAATTAATGTCCTATTTGCTTATCTTCCCAAATCCGTTTTGGCACCAGTACAAACCACGGCTTGGTGGCAAGCAGTTGTCTGGACTTTAGATGCCAGGATTTGTGCTGGCAGTTCTTTCCACATATTCAGAGTCAAGCCTCTCGCAGCTGGCCAGGAGACAAGGCTCTTCCCCCACCATAGACAGCCACCCCAATAGTTAACTCATGCCAGATTATAACTATTACCACAAGGATTAGGATTATGTGAAAATATTTCCTATACAATTCAAAATGATATCATTTAGAACTGGCCTATAGAAGGCAATACTGTAAAGTTGCAATCATATACCTATATTTAATTGAAGGAGTTGTCAGAAATAAAATATTTATTTGATTGTTTTATTTGCAGGTGGAGGTTTGGGCTTTATGCAAGTGTTCTGTTTTTAATTGAAAGTATAAGCAAATCCTAACTGCTGCTAAAATACTTTTAAGCTATAGATAGAAGGATTGTTGCTTGGTGGGACAAGTAGTAACTTACACCTTTAAAAAAATAGTGGAAACAAAGTTTTTTTTAATTTTCAACTGATTAGATTGCATGAGTACAGTCACTGTACTTTTTTAAAAAAATCCAGTCAGAGATGGTTACTTGATTTATCTTTGAACAATGTCAACTATTTCCTGATATTAAAATTATATTAAATGGGTATAATGGGAAAAATATCGCCCTTAGCTCAACTCCTACCCATGTGGTAGACATATTCCTGTTCTATTATACAATGGAAGTGGGTTGCTCCTGCTTTTCCAGATGGCCTTCCAGAAGCAGATTAAAACATGACTTCTTTGGGGATTAATGATAACTGGTGTCATATTCAGTAAATATTATCTTCTTATTTTAATATTTAATTTAAATTGAGAGCTAAATTTGATTATTCTTTTACTTATTATATTGGTATGTACTATGTTCTATGTGTCAGCTGCAAGCTACCCAGAGTCCTTTTGATTTCAAGAGGTAGACAGAACTCATAACAAATAAAGGGGATGGAGTGTATGAGCCATCTTAGAGTTTTGTTTTGTTTTTCGTGTCATTTCACCATATTTAACATCATAATTCAAGAATGTTGAGATTTCCAGATTATAAATACAACTTTCATCATGCCAATTTAGTATGAAGTTAATTAATATTAGTATTATTGCTAATTACTAGTATTAATATGAGATTAATTAATGACAAGAATGTTGTTTCTTCTTCCTGGTGCCCTCCTAAATAAATAAAATATTTAGAGTCACCCAACTAAACTTTTTTCGGATTTTTAAAAAATGTTTAGCTGTATTGCTTGAAAAGACCATTTCTTCTTCCGTATTATCCTCTTTTCTAAGGAAAAAAAAAGTCCATTGGAAATTTGGAAAGCAGGAGTCATAAAGTTACAGAAAAATGTTCTCACAACACTCTGAAAGCATTTGGAGATTTTTAAAGTCTTGTATGCAATGACCTTGCAGTTCTTGTTGAAAGAAAACCCTCATGAAATTACTTTCCAAGAGATTTGGTGGATAATAAAAGATTAATAGATATCAAAAGCATGCTGAAATGAAATACATTTTGACTTCAAACATGATTGAAAACAAATTGATTTAATTGCAATCAAGTGTCTTCTTTTTGAATGGGAAAGAGCTTTAATTCAGAGATCCCCTTTCCTAACTGGTTATCCCACATCTGTAAAGAAGATCCTATCGCTAAATAAAGATAGATGAGCCTTTGTACTAAGTGCAGTGAGTCAATGATCTGCAGGTAAAATTGTCTAATATTCTCAACCACAAATTTCAATATGAATCTTAATGGGAAATAAGAAGTTTATAGTCCTTGACCAAAATCAAATGTCATCATTTTCTAATGATAATTTAAAAAAATATTTGAACAGTCTATCCTCTGGAACATTAGTACCCAACCTTTGCAGCTTGGTGGCCTGTCTGGAGGATGGGGAGAGGGAAATGAGGTCACATGAATGGCAGGCTGGCACACATGCACATATGCCCACATCTTAACTTGTGCAAGTTGAGCTGCATGCACATGTCATACAACTTGCCTAACCCGGTTCAGAATAGGCCATGGAGTTTGGAGACTCCTGCTCTGGAAGATGAATAATATTCATATAAAGGATTAGAGTGGCACGTTATTTTTTCCTAAAATTCTTTTGTTGTCTCTATAGAATTACAATAAGAGGCAAAACAAATGAGAAACTTCTTCATAGTTGGTCTATTTTTTTATGAATGAGACCAGTTTGAGAGCTGAACACACATTGCTAACTTCATATTTATTTCCATGGCATTTATTTCTTGCATAAGTTATTCCTGATGGATCAATTTATTAAATATAATTAATTAAAGTAAAATGGTTGTGCATGTTTGAACCAACAATTATTCCAAACATGTCATGACCTTTCCTATTTATGGTGATATTTTTTGATATAGTTTAACTTGTTTCTAAAAAATTAAAAATAAGTTTGATATGTCTGTTTGTTTTTTCTTTTATGAATAATGTCCAAAATGTGAGGCCAAGTTTCTTCAAGTTTTTGTTTTTATGGCTTATTAATACAGAACATTGAGGAAGACATTTTCTGTGGTTTATGTCTTTGGTAAAATATGTTTTCTGTTTCTGAAGAAATACGGGTTATAAAATGATTTCAGTGATTTTTATAGAATCAAGAACTTTAAAAGTATTGTTCATTTAAGCATTTGTGGTTTCCAAGAACAAAGATAAGTATAATTTTTTTCACATCCTTATTTTATTTTGAAAACCACAGCTAATTTTCTTAAATATTCATCATGCATGTTTTGATAAAATTTTTGATTCCTCTTGATTTAACAGCTTTGGAAAAATATCATTTTATTTATAAATCATGACTGTTATTGATATGCCTATGCTTATACAGGCACACATTCAGCTTTTACCAAATAATTTAACTCATTCTTTATACAAAAGTAAAGTTTAAAGAAGTATCTTTGAACAAAAATTCCAGAATAAACCAGTTGAAATAAAATATAGATTCATATAGCTAACCACAGCAAATTCTATAATGCTGCTAAGATGCAAAACACAATGACTTTGTTTTTAAAGTCCTCTTAAAAACAGCCACAGAACCTGCTAACCAGCTCTTTTTTGGAAGGAACTTTTGAAGTATATGCTTTGTTTGTATCCAACTGTATTGCACAGCAACATTACTCCTTAAGACCATAAGTCCAAAGTTCAGTTTTTAAAAGCATTTTCATTTAGGTTGTGGAATAGGGTAGTCTGTATCAAAACCAATCTGCTAGCTTCAGCATGTAGAAAGATTCAAAATTTCTATTAGGTTCAATGACAACTCCAAGAATACACTCTTTATTGAGACAAAGCAAACCGCGGTATGTCTTTTAAATAGTCCGTTGATTGATGAATAGGTTAAAAGTAACACAACTAATTGACTGCAACCTTTAATGTAATGACAGCCCTAATTAAAAGAAAACTTGCCATGTTAGAGCTTCATGATACTTGGCTTTTTTAAAGCTTTTGTTTGGCTGAGCTCTTGGAAAGAATACACACTGAAAGAATAGACATTATGCTAGGGGGAGCGCAGTGGCTCACGTGGTAAGATGCTGGGGAGCCTCCTCTGATTGCCTACTGGCATTCAGGCGTCCCACGGGTAAAGATAACACCACCCGAAAAAATTCATTTCACAGAGGCAGCCAGCCACCTAGGTAATCCCTGGCTAACACGTGCCATACACTAAAAAAACAAAAAAACAAAACACCCTCTAATATAGATATTTAAGAGTATTTCCCCACTCCTTGCCATACCCATAATTTGTTTGGAATCTTTTTTCTTGCTATGCTCAGTGACTTCTACATAGTGATTTATTCTCTTCATTTTAATTGTTATGCTTAGGGCATAGATTCCACCATTACATCCAGGCTATAATGTGGGACCCATATTTTATTTTCTTAAAAGAGCCACAATATGTGGTGGAATTCTTGATCTTGTGTGTCATACAATTCAACATCCCCACCCCATACTTGTTGCTTTTGTAACACATGGGATGGGTACTCATTTACCCAAAATTGAAGTCCTCCCAGTCAGCTTCATGGGAAATGCAATTCAGTTACATTCCCTACCTTACTTCTCCTACTTGGCCAGATCATAGAAGTTAGAATTTAAGCACATATATAAGGTTCTTTTTGCCAATTTAGCTCTGAACTCCAGTATTCCCACATTGTCCTCCAGGCTCAAGAGTTGGGTTGTATTGTTTTCCTGTTTGATACCAGTTTGTCTGAAACCAAAACAAAGCTGATTTTGGGTTTGTTAGTGCTATTGCCCTACAGATTTTTCAGGCAATTTCTTTTCCCTTTGAAGGCATTCTTGTCCTGAAACTTCAGCGTTTTGCTCTTGTCCATAGGCAAGGTTGATAATGTATTTCTTTTCCCCCTTCAAGCTGTTGTAGCAGCATGCAGCCATGGCTGGAGAAACTGGGAAGAATGTCTGGTTGTAGAAATGGAATTGGGGTGAAAGTTTCAGAGACAGGAACACGATTGGATGTTATTGTTTGGCCCTATCCTATTAGCCTATTGGTCAGTAGGTATTAATTGGTTCTTGCTGTTCCCCATGTGTTTTTAGTGTTTAGAATTTTGAAGAAAAGAAAATGATCACAGATCAGTTTCAAACCGCTTTGTTGGAGTGGTATTGGTATTGGTATGGAACTGAGCTGATTGTGAAAGTTAGAGTTGTTTTGTGGTAGTAAAGATGGATTATTTTGTCATACCTAATTATAAATGCTTTAAATTAGAAAGAACTTCGCAATATAAAATTCCAGCAAAGAGACACCTATGGGATGGATTGCCTGTTTCTCCTGTTTCTTTGCCATCTGATTCAAATTCTAAGAATGTGTTTAAAGAGGTATATACTGAATAGATTTTTTTAGCAATTAAGCAAAACAAATATTGAGCGAATATACTAAACAAATTATCTCTTTTCCAACAGGTTCTTCTTGAAATTTTTTCTTAAATGTAACCAGAACTGCTTGAAAAATGCAGGAAATCCTCGAGACATGCGGAGATTTCAGGTTAGTGACACTTCCTACCTACTTGATCAATCTCTTTTTGAAAATATGAGCTAAAAAAAATTTCAGCCAGGTAACCTAGCTATTTTATTTGTGCATGTTGTGTGCCAGTTTTTATCTAACTTTTGGGAAGCACTTTAGAATTTCATCCCAAGAATTATCAGTGACAGTGCAAGTAGCTCTCACTTATTGACCAGTCAACAACTATTGGAAGTTAGGACAATGCTGAATGGCCTTATGGCTAGTCTTCGTAATTTCAGCTGTGACAACAACCTGGCAATCACACAATCACAATTCAGATGCTTGATGACTAGTTTGCAACATCCCCACAGTCACAGGATGGAAATTGTGATCTTCCCAGTCAGCTTCTGACAACAGTGGAAAAGCTGGCAATATGTCATAAAATGGTGATCATGTGACTTAACAGTTAATGACTATATAGAATTAACTGCAACGGGAATTGCTGCAGCTGCCATTGTAAGTTGGTGTGGTTTTTATTGACAGAGTTGTCCGTGTTAATTATTGTTATTAAGCTAGGATTACCTGTGCAGGATCAAATGATTCTTAAAACATCAACAAATGTTATCTATCAAACAAATAGAGATCTTACAAAAATTGAAAAATAGATTAGATTAGATGTACAAAGATGTGATCTAATAATTTAGGCCAATTCCACTAGACATTTAAGTCTAGTATGCTCAGTTTTGCTGCCCTAGGCAGTGAGATGGAATCAAATTTATTTCAAGGTTTGACTCATGGACCGCCTGCAAATCAATGTGCAATTAGTCTAAAATCCTTCCACTTGATATGACAATACTGCAAAATATTTAAAAAACAGGCTCTTTGGAAAAGCTTTTCAGGACAGAACAGAGGATATAACTGAGTAGAACAGATACATTAATTCACACCTGCTTGTAAATGACTTTGACATCCTCATAGGGAGTCAGATGTATGTGAACTCAGCATTACTAAACAGGTAACCTCTACCCACTTAAGTAATCCTGGCTAATTTCCATGTTTTTGCATTTCTTTAATATAAACTATTCCAGCAGAAAAACTCCTGGTTTTCTATGAAATAATATAATCTAAAACAGCTACAGTGGTTAAATCGTGGATCCTTTTGGTCTCTGGCATATTAAGAAAACTTTTTCAAGGAACAGATCTTATTTATCTTTATTAATCTTACCTCCCTTTTTGCAATTTATTGAAAGGACTGCCTTTTGTAGCATTACAAGATACATTTATGTCTTTAATGTGAACTGTCACTAAAACTTACTTTTTTTTCATAGTTTTTTTGGGGGAAGGGGGCTTAAAGATAGTTTGTCATATTGAGAACCAGTTTAGTCTAGTGGTTAAAGTACCAGGCTAGAAAGCAGGAGACCCTGAGTTCAAGTCCTGCCTTAGCAATGAAGATCAGCTGGGTGACCTTGGGCCAGTCATTGTCTCAGCCCAATTCGCCTCATACGGGAAAATAGTAAGAGGAAGGTGTGTTGGATATGTTCTCCTTGAGTTATTTGTAAAAATAATAAAGGTGAGGTTAAATAAAATAAAATAATAAATAAATAGATAGATAGATAGATAAACAAACAAACAAACAAACAAATAAATATGAAATTAAAGGCCGTACATCTCTATAGTATAGGATAGAACAATATAATCATTATATTGTGATCTTATTGGGATATATAAACATAGTCACCTTTTCTCCTGATCTGAGCTCAATATAAGATGGACAGCTATATAAATGTTATAAATAATAAAATATAACAAAAGTAGAATTGCGGGGCAGGGTTAGGACTGCCTGAAACTCATATTTTTCTTAATCAATAATTTAATGTTTTTATTTAATATTTGTTATGGGAGAAGATAAATTAAGAATGAAGACTTCAAGTATTAGTCCCATTCCATTCAAAGAGGCATAGGATTATTCTGTCAAAGACATATATAGGATTACTCTGTTACCAAGAAGAAACCTAATGGCTTTCTGAGTAAAAATGTGCAGGATTAATCTCTTAGCTCTGTGTTTTTTATTTTCATAGTATAGATGATAAGGAAGAGAATAATTTGAAAAATTACTAAAATGTATGTGGGTTTTTGTGTATGTGCGTATATGTTTCTGTGTTTTCCTGATAAAGTTGCATATAAGTATAGTACATATAATTATGTTTACATTGCACTTTAAAGCCGTAAATGATTTAATGTTCAATTATCTCAGAATGTGGCTTACTTTGTAAGAAGCTGTATAAGTACTGAATTCAGCAGGATGCTGTCTTAAAGATGCTATAAATTTCAGAGCATTGTTCTTTCTCACACATAGAAGGCATGACAACTCTCTAAAAGGAAGTTTTCTTGGCAGTTGCTCTTGGCTCCCACATTCTTTGACTTGAAGGAAAGAGAATGATTTTGCTCTTCACTGAGGAGTTGGATTGTTAGTGATTCTAGCTGCTCTTGATGCAGTTTTAATGCATGATTTAACTTTAATATTATGTGTCTTAGGTGTCTTCAGCACTCTTGTCTCTCCCACACAGTACTCAGTTTGAAGTCTCCATAGAATAGGTTCGCAAGCTGCTTTTCAGACACATTTTGCCCAGTTCCTTTGATGTACTTCTCATCTTTTGCCAGGACTGCTTCATATTTCATTATCAAAAAATCAGATCCATTCTACCTGCCATCATCTCGGTAGCAATCTTGCTCCCATCTCCCTTAGCCTTCTCCTCAATGCTTCATAGTCCCTTGCAGTGTCTTCAAGCCTTTAATTAGTTGAATTCCTACATGGATCAATAGAAACAGGAGGAGGTGTCTGTCACATCCCAACTGGGTGCTCCAGTCTCTTCATATGCTATCTGGATGACTGACAGATTGCGGCTTTGGTCTCACTCAGTGTAAGGTCTCTGATCACCCTACTGGTTGCTTCCTTAGGCACAGGAATCCTCCTTTTGCATTGAGCCTATTAGTTGTCATTCTTAATTCCTGAACCTGCTATTCATCTTGGATCCATTACCAACTTCCATAATGGAAACTTGAAATTGGTAATGTCTTAAATTTTGTTTCTCCTGATCACAGAACTTAATATTTCTCAGTTTGTAATTTTTGATGCAGAATAGTTAGGGACCTCCTACCTATATTTTACCAGCTTTTCTCCTGTTTTGCCCAGCCTATTTTTCCAGAATATTCACCAATTAAATCTGCTTCATAGATAAGGGAATCTAGCTTGAGCAGCCAAGGCTAAAGGCTATGAAAGCATCAGTTCAAACCTACCTGTTCTGCTGCCAGTTCAGAACTCCCCCAAGATATAAGCTGATTTTCTTATGGTAATGCATTTGCATGTTCTGTCAGAAGAGCAATCAAAAATTTGTGTAGGTGACCAGGTAGGACATAAGAGAGGTTGTTGTTGATCTCTTGACTTGTAAAGACATTCTGTCAGGCAACCTGAGCTTCACAGCAGTTAAGCTTTCCATGTGTAAACAGAGATGGCTTAATTGTATATGTCATGTCAATTAGTGTGTCCTTAGCATTTTAAGGAAATTAATCACTTTCAGCAGAGTAGATCATCCTTCATACTTTTAAAATCCAGCCTGTCTTCTTCAGTGACCAAAAAAATAAATAAAATCTATTTCTATGGGCAATGGTTATGATTTTTTTCTCCCTCTTACCCTAGCTTCCAGATCAGGTGCTTGGACATTTGTAGAAAACAAATATAGCCTCTTGTTGATGGTGCAATTTATTTATTGTAGCTGAGCAAGGAAAGCACCAGTTGAGGATAGGAGGGCCTTAGCTTAATTCTGTTGATCCCTTGTCAGAGCCACGATATTAAGGGCAGCCTCCTTAATATGATGCCTCTTTTCGTGAGACAACTCTCACATTGCTATAGTTTCAGTTTAATATGTCCCTGTCCTCCATGAAGTGTTCATCTCAGCATTGATCCTCTGAATTTAGATTGAATAAAAAGTATTGAGAAAACATTTTGAAATTGAGTTCTGTTATGAAATGCAGATACGACTGTAGTGATGTAAAAAGATAACTCTACCTCAGGGATCTCCAAACTTGGTGACTTTAAGACTTGTGGACTTCAACTCCTAGAATTCCCAGGCTGGCTTGGGAATTCTGGGAGTTGATGTCCGCAAGTCTTAAAGTTGCCAAGTTTGGAGATCCCTGTTCTACCTGTTATATATTCTTCAGTTCATGGGCTAGCTTCCACACTTGATAGAGTTACCTTCTTTAGAGCTTTCCCCAGTGTTGACTGTTTAGGGTTGACTGTGGATTTTTACTCCCCTAGTCATTTCTGACTATAGGAGGTGCTGCTTATCACTGCTTTGAGGCCATTGAGCCAACACTGTCTGAAGATGTTTTTGCACTCATGTGGCCTGCATAATGGCACAAAGTGCTGTTACCTTCGCAATGAAGCAGTACCTATTTATCTAGTCGCATTTGCATATTTTTGAACTGCTGGGTTGGCGGGAGCTGGAGCAAGAACACAGCACATGGGCCTCGAACCTGAGCTGTCAGCTTTTCAGTTGACAAGCCCAGGGTCTTAGGCACTGTGCTTCTGCACCACCTGTTTGAGGAAGAGTGAACAGATAATGTGAATGTGTAATATTCAATTTTCACCCTAGAGTTAATTATATGACATAGTTATTTATTTATTTAAAACATTTATATAGCCACCCATTTTATACCAAACCCTGAACAATCTCAGAATAGTTGTGATAATATAAATTATTTGAGAATATAATAGTGGCAAGGCAGACAGAAAATGAAAAAAGCTGGGACTGTACACTATCCCTTTGATAAATGCAACATAATCCAAGTATTCTAATTTTGGCCATAATGATATTTCAATTACTATTTGAAAGAACTGCAATATTCTTTTGACTGGATAAAAAATGAATGCAAATGAACAATTTCAACACATGCAGGAATGATAATGGAGTGGGAGAAAGTATTATCTAGATTGCCAGGGGAAAATAATTTATGACTTCCATGGAAGGAAATGGCAACATGGA